GCAGAGTTTCGGGAGGCCATGGAGCAGCACATCCCCATTCACGCGCTGCCCGAGGAGATTAGAAAGGTATGAAACAGTGGAAGTACAAAAAAGCCCAACATTTGGAGACCAGATACTACAGTAATTCAGCGATATTTCACTGGTCTTTGAACACTGGTACATTATCTGGTACGTTTTGGTCCTGGTTTTAGATTGTGTGTGTTCTAGGCTTCGTCATTATACATGAAGTGTAATTACATGCTAGTGCTATAGGAACACTGTAGAGGAACATACTCGTTCTGTAATGGTGGTGTCACTGGTAGGTGAGTTTCAAATTTTACCCCATACGGCATGTTTTGTTGCCGTAAGTTTGGAATGACTGCAGAGCATAACACGTAATTGTTCCAAAGGAGTGTCAATACAAATAGGAATAGAACATTGCCCTTCATCTTTTCTTGTGTCTTCTCTTTGTGTGTGAGGCTGTTCTTTTGTTTGAGAGACAGATCATTACCAATGTAACAATGCTGCTATTTATATGGGTTAACTTATGAGGAGGCTTTACATATGCAGTGATGCACACAAGCGGAACACGAGTCACTTTTTGTAACACTATGAAGTTTTTACTTTGGCAATAAAACACCCTGCTGTCCTCATTTTGGTATGCGTCTAATAATCAAGTAATTTAAAAGTTTTATGAGCTCAGGACAAAGCCTGGAGAAATTCTCCCTGGAATAGTCCAGGAAACTCTTGAGACAATTTCTGAGGCATCAATGATGATTTCTCAGAATTCAAAGATGGGTAAGATAGCCAAACCAAGGCAAAAAGGAATACTTCCCCTTAAAGAAGGGGAGGGGAAGAACCTGGGAAATTTGCAGACTTATTAGCAGCTGTTTTGGTAGCAGGAAAGATACCAGACAAGTTTGTTTATTTAAAAATTATTTTGCAATCATCAACAGGATAAGGTGGTTAGCAAAAATCAGTGCAAGTTTCTCAGAAAAACAGTTGTGCCAAATTGTTGGATGAAGTACATCAGGGAATTGTTGTTGATCTAGTACTGGTTAATATTTCCATTAATGACTTGAGGCCGTAGTCTGGTGGCGCTTCAGCTGCCTGTCTTTCATCTGGATCAGTTCCTGATCTGTGCGCTACACGTATGCTAGCACAAGGAGGAAGCAGGTGTGAGTGCAGGCACAAATAGGGAACAGAAAGGGAGTGACATTATTTCTTTCAGTAGGAGTGTCAGTGTCGTCTGTTTTTCATTGAGCTAGGATCTTAGATTACAATAAGAAATACACTGATGCCAGTCTGGGAGGGGTTGTGAGCACTCTGGGAACAGCATTAAACTTAGTATTTTTAGTAAGAATAAGAATATTTTAAAGGAGTAAGTCCAGTGCATCAATACAAAATACATAGTAACTGATTAAGCTTCCTTGTTACTTGCCAGACCTAACACTGAGGTCTATAATCAGGTAATAAGCAGAATAATATTAACAAAGTGATGTTACAAAGAATGCAAGTATTAAATGTATTAGTTTAATTGCATGTAAAACTTGGCCCATTATTCCTCTGTTCAGGGCTGTTGAGGTATCAGTTCTGAGCTGCAGGCTTTAAGAAAAATAATGCGACTGATGGAAATCTAGAAAAATGCAAAAATAGTAAAGAGCTTAAAAATCCTGTTGTTCTGTGAAAGGGTAATAGAGCTGGGTTCTATTTCTAGAAAATATGTGAGGGCACAGTAACAGTATTCACACGTGTAAGAAGATGGTGGTTGTCTTCATCTCCAGCTGCAAATTAATCTTATCCTCACCTTTCTGGACTTGCTTTGGTTGAATGTTATGGAACTCTAGATGTAGGGGTAGCTGAGCACTGGAGCAGCACACCGAGGGGAGTTGTGGAATTCCTCCAGTGGTACTGGGGGGACAAGTAAGGCAAGCTTTTACTTTGGAGTGGAGCACTGGGCAGATCTTCCAGTTCTGCAGTACACCTTTAACAAAAAGATCTATATGCAGAATCCACATCAGTACTTCTAGATATATACATGAATAGGCTTATGTTCCAGTCCCATCCTACCCTGTCACCTCAATGTGATATATGTGAGCTCTAAGGCAACGACAGCCCAAGATTTTGGGATCGGTTAAGTGTCAGGGTTTTACATATCCTTTGCTATTTGTCTCTTCACTCAGCTGACTTGCATTGTAGTTGCAGTATAGTTACAAGATACAGAGCTTGATTACAAGTCATTCTCACAATTTCCTGTCTTGTATTTCCTACCTTTTATGTACACGTGTTCTTATTCCCTTCACATTCTCTGCTTCTTGGATTTTATAGCATCTCTTTTGGAATCTTTCTTTTACATTGCTCCTAACGTACGCAGAACGTGTGCCAGCTGTAGATTGCTCTGCCAAACTGAGCACATGCTCCCAACATGCAGCTTGCAGGCCAAAGGAACATGTGTATCTGGAGGGAGTATGTTAAGCATTGTGATTTCAGCTGCAGAATGAAGAATATTCACTTGCTAGGTCCTGTTTTGAGTTGGTTTGCTGGATGTTGGGTTGTAGTGCTGACAATGGATCAAGCAGCTGTCTCAAAAGAAAGGATGCAGACCAGAGCTCTCATCATTCCTCTCCTGTGTGCGCCTAGTGGATGGAGCTTCACAAGCTTCTTATCAATACTTGGAGCAGTGACATAGCTGCCTCCAAAATTGCACTCTTCTAAAGGATAGTACGGAGAGGGAAAGGGGAAGGGAGCATCTTGTGCCAACCTGGAACAGATTGTTCTGCAGACTGTTCTACTGCTAGAGTCTGCCAGAGAGGAAGACCTGTTAAAGTAAAGCCATGGATGTCACGGCAGAAGTTGGTATAAACTGACCATTTGCAGACTGGGTCCAGTAGGTGTTGCCCACTATGTTTATTAAATTTTAAAGGAAGTTTTAATCTAGAGGGGAAGAGATTTCTTGGTATTTTGTTAATGAAATGATAGATGTGAAGGGACTTTGGTTCTTTGGGTTCTGATCAAACCTGGTTCTCTGGGTTCTCTGCCTTAGAGAGTCATGTAAGAATTTTACATGGCCCTGCTTTTCTCTTTGTCTCTCATTCCTTCTACTGCTCTCATACCTCTTTCACACAATATGCATTGCAAGATGGGTGCTAAATGGAAAAAAAAAATCAACAGGTAAATAAACATCCACATGTCCGTTATTAAAGCTTACAGGTTTTTTTTGTATTTATAGTTGCATACTTCTTAGGAACTAATTATTAGTAAAGATCTAAATCATGGTTTGTTTCTAAAAAAAAGAAAAAAACCCCAGAGTTGTGAATTTGCCTGTTAACAGTTTGGTTACCTCACTGAGCAACGTTTGTCAGTGTTAAAAGTCAGCAGGAGTTGGTTTTCCCTGCAAGTTTCGAGGGAAGCTATGCCACATGGAGCGGTGGTGACGGCAAATGTGGAGAACAGCTGCTGCTGTTTTGGCAGGAGACGTAGGAGACATATTCCCAGGAAGGAAATAACCATGTCAGTCAATGGCAAAGTCCAAGCCATCTGTGACAGTTCTTGGGGAGGGTATTCTCTGGTTCTAGCTTTATTTTAGGGACAGTTGTACACTTCTGGGAGGTGATGTTTGCAAACTTGGTGTGCCAGCCAGCAGGTGTTTTAGCTAAATGAGTGAGTTGGTTGGTCTGCCTCAGTAGAACCCTGTGTTTTCTTGTAAGTGTACTGTCACAGGACTGTAGAAAGAACTTTGCAGAGATTGCTGGCTTGTAATGCCTACTTTCTCATGTATTTACATGTCTTAAGGTTTATGCCATCAAACTCAGTCTGAGAGGTATCGTAGACCACCAAGTAGTAAAAAAAGAAGTTAGTGTTTCTTTACTCTGAAGTTATGGGTGTGTATTTTGGGGGAGTTCTCTTTTTGTTGTTTGGGGTCTTTTGGGGTTGGTTTGTTTTGGGATTTTTTTCCTCAAGAGAAAAGAACATTATCATATTGCACCTTGTTAGTTGTCTGTTGCTAGTGGTAGACAAATCTTTTACATGCTTGTGAACTTACTAAAGTTCTGTTTGTTTCAGCATTGTTGTTCATTTAATGTAAGTAGATGGGAACATGCAGTTTTGCCCTGAAGATCTTACTGAAGTGGGAAACAAAACAGCAGCCACCTACATAAGACAATAAAATGACACCCTGACGCCTCAAAGTACCAAACAAAAAGTTATATTTAATTTTATATTTTATTTGGCAAACAAATAACCTTTGCTTAGCATAAATCATAAAATTAATTGAGCACAAGATACCCTTACAGATTAGTAGTTCTCTCATCCTAGGAGCTTAAGAAAGCAAGCAGAGCAGGAACTTTGAAGCTGTGTTATACATCAGTACAGAACGTTCTGTGGTATCTGACTATCCACAAAACATCATGTACGTCACTAGTAGAAAATGGTTACTCATTAGATTTGCCATGTGTGCTATAAGTTGAGCACATTATGGTATCTTTATGAGCACATTATGTTATCTTTGATTTTTCTTGCTGTCTTTGAACCTGGGGTTATTTTTTGTAACAGGTTCTTACATAGTTCCAGTTGTGTTAATTAGCTAAAGAATCTGTCCTGTCCACCAAAACTAGCTTTGTAGAAGGGAACAACATAGCTATGTATTTAGTACTTACAATATCAATATGGATTTAGCAGCAGGAGCATTTCCATTCGTGCCTTCCATATGAGCATGGTAGTATCTACATGCAGAATGGCAGGAGGTCTTTTCAGAGTCCTGTTGTCATGTACCTTATGAAATCTTCTTAAGATGATGTTCATGAGTTGCCCCTATGCCCACTGAGATTTTCAGCATTTGGCTGTAGAATTTTTAACTTTTAGATTTCATTGGGATGACAAGCTTTGGCTATGTGAATGTTCTGAGTGGCTGTAATATACTTTGGAAATGTTAGAAAATATCTGCTTGTTTTTGGTATAAGCCCATGTTACAGACTAAAGAGATGAAAAGCTCTCAACAGTGAACTGGTTTTGGCTATGTGAATGTTCTGAGTGGCTGTAATATGCTTTGGAAATGTTAGAAAATATCTGCTTATTTTTGGTATAAGCCC